CAGGCCTTTATTGCATCCAGGGCAGTGTCAGTGTCTCTACAATAATTCTACATCCTTTCTAACACATTTCTAAACTCTCAAATAAGCTACGCATATCTTCAATACCCAGCCTGCTATAGGGCGAGTTGGATGAGAGGAAGAAGATGGATGGATAGAGGAGCATTTGGACCCAGAAATTGTTACTTACTTCAAACTTAAGAAGCAGATTTCAAAATTTTTTTGAACCTCATTAGAAACAAAGCATTTTGTACCTCTCATCAAAAGGCACAGCTAAAACACAACAGCCAATAGAGTGAGGATAACCTATGACAGGGGAGAGTAAATCCATGCATCCATGCCTGTTTTGCAAACAATGAAGCTAGTGATATTTTGACTGAATTTCATTTAAGCCCCAACATTTTTCTTTGATTGGTTGATTACATTTTTTTTTTTGAGTCAATCTAATTTAGAGTGAGCTTGTGAAACTGCCTCTTTCAAAAGGTTTTACTGAATAGATAAATGAACATACATTTGAACCCTAATTTTGTACAGAGAATAAAAGAAAACAAGAAACTGAGATACAATCAACAAACAAATGAAAGACGTGCAATGTTTGAAGGAGACATGCAGCGCTGGCCTCCATCTGCACGGCTTGAGGTGTCTGATCATTTCCCCACTGCTGATAGAAGTCTAAGCGCTGCAGCAGTTTCACAAACATGCATCAACAAGCTTGACCTGTAAAAGAATTTCGTGTTGATCTCCGTGAACCCATAAAATGGGCCGTGTTTTCCTTGGATATCAGTGCCATATAGAACTTGTGTAACAGTGTTTTCAAAGTGAAGTTTTCTTGGCAGAATTTGATGTTTGTGGGAACCTTACACTTGGTTTCTATTAAGAACATCAAAATGATGGTAGTTTTATACTGCTGTAAAGTAATCCAGGTCAAACTGGATGAAAACCTGGTGATTTTTATGTTTCTGCTGTGTTTTAGTCTTTTGATCATGCTTGAAATTATTTCATGTGACATGAATAGAGTGAGGACGGGCGGAACAAGAAGACTGATGTAGCTGTAGGGCACACAGAGGAATGTCAGAAATGTCTGACACACGCACTGTAGCGAGTGTGTGACTCATTTTTTAATTTAATGTATGCGCATCTTTCTTTGTGTGACTGGGTCGAACTCGTTAACCTCGGCTCAGGTAGATGTTGGGTTATTCTAAGCTTGCCCTTTAGCGCTCGCTGTGCCTCGGCCGTATTTTCTTCCTTTCCACTCATTGTCTCAGTGTAGTGTCTTGAGGTGAAGCCGTCAGTCTTCCGCTCGCTGGAAATCCCAGTTCCCACACTGCTAAAGTTCCAATGCTCTGACAGAAGTCCTGCATTGGCCGCAGTCAGGAATACTACCTTGTGTTTCTCAGGTTTCCATTCAGCATTCTTCACAAGCGGGTGAACTGATCATGAGACGACTTGTTAGACAATTTATTGCTCCAAACCCAGCCCCATTTTGCTTTGTCAAACCAATCAGACTGTAAGTTAAACAGGTTATTGATGCTAATATCATATGAAAGCTTTTACAATACTAAGTGGGGAAAAATTTGTATCACAGCACAAGATTTCAGTTGACGTCACAGCACATTTGCTCTAACAAATGCCAGTCCAGTTCTCCCCAGTGTCCAAATAAACTGCCTAACTGCCTTTATGGTCCTCAGCCAAAAATCCAGACTTTATACTACTTTCTAGATTACTGCTTCCACTCTGTGTGGTTCATCCATCTAAACCTATTGTTTTTAACTAACATCTATGGTTATACAAAACCTACACGGATATATTGATTATGATGTTTGACAAATTCAGATTAAATCCACCTGATTAAATATCTCAGTCACACAGCACACAGTGTAGATGCACACCCCCATTAAACACTGCTTAATCATAAAATGCCTCAGCTTGGCTGCTGCAGCAGAGGGTTTAACCATAAAAGGCATCTTCTGAACCACCAAAAAGCCCAGACAGACAGTGTGACTCTTGACCAGACAAATGACTGTTCACAAATGTCAATCCGAGGGTGTATTAGTGGCTACTGAAAAAATGTGCTTCCTGTGTTGTGGGTTTGATTTCCTTCTCATATTGCGTGAGATGTGGAAGAGCAGAAACACAATTGGAACCCAAAGTATTTGAGCAGTGGCGCTTCTTTGGTAGCTTGCCTATAGTGGATTTTAAACAATCAATATGTGATTGAAGTACAGACTTTTTCAGCTTTAATTCCTGGTCACATCCCCACATTTTCAGGGCTTGTTTCTAATACTTTGCCTTCAAAAAATTTGCATCTGTTACCGCCTGAAGTCTATAAGCCATCAGCATCACCAAATGTAATAGTTTAAATTTGAGATGCTCTTTCAGGCCTTTACTGCAGCTGCTTTCAGTTGCTGCTTGTTTGTGGGGCTCTCCACCTTCAGTTTTACCTTCAGTCACCGAAGATTGCTGTCTTGGGTTGAGATCAGGTGACCGACTTGACCACTGAAGAATATCCCGTGTCTTTGCCTTGACAAACTCCTGGGTTTCTTTTGCAGTATGCTTTGGATCATTATCCATGCGCACTGGGAAGCACTATCTGATCTGTTTTGCAGCATTTTTGTGAATCTAAGCAGAGAGTACAACTCTATGCTCTTCATAATTTATCCTGTTACTTCTATCAGCAGTCACATCATCATTTAACACTATTGATGTGGTTCCAGTGGTTGCCATACGTGCCAATCCCATAACACTGCCTCCATGTTTGACAGATGACGTTATGCACTTCAGAGCAGATTCTCTGCTTCTTTGTGCTTTTCTCTTAACATCATCTTGGTTCAAGTTAATCTTGCTTTCATCTGCCTGTTTTCATCCCCAGACCAGTGCAGGCTCTTTTAGATGTTTTTTGGTCTAATCTGGGCTTATTCTTTGTAAATGTGACCAATGGTTTGCGCCACTGGTCACATTCTTCTGTATTTTCATTCATACTGGTAATTGTAGACTTTGCCATTGTCACCTCTTTGTTGGTTTGTTGATGTTGTGAAGGGTTTTTTCCTAATCAAGGAAATAATGTTGTTATTTTGCACTGCAGTCATCTTCTGTGGCCTGCTGAGCTGCCCCAGTGCATTCATTCTTTTTATGAAGATACCAGATTGTGGAAACTGGATCGAAAGATAAAAACTGCTTGTCTGTCAATTGTGCGATTTCTTTTAAGCCTATGAAAATGGGAAACTGTGTATAAAAGCTGACGTAAACAGTTAGTCTAATGCTTTTGTTGAACCAGCTGAAAGTCTGCACTTGAATTACATCCTGATCATTTGATTTAAAACTCTGTGGTGGTGTACAGAGACAAAACTGCCAAAAACAAGCATCATCATCCAAAAACCTGTCGACATAACTGCAACTTCACAAGGGTTAACTTGAAAACAGTTTTGAGGGAGATCCAGAGATTTTCAGTTAAACAACTTTTCTCTCCAAAGCAAAATGTGCCAAACACTGGGGCTTATGTTAGCATGTGACATAAACTTGAATGTTGTAAACATCTAATTTGTTTTACTTTTCAATGGTTCAATGTTCTCTGTGTGAAACTTTCATGAGTCCCGTTTTTGTTTTGCATGAGGCTTTGGGAGCAGATGTATTGTTCATCTTTATACTTAGATCATCACATCATCTACATGTAGAATGGCCATCAATATCATCAGCAAAATTAAAGTAGGAAGTATGGGATATATCAACAATTAACATGTAAGCAGTGATTTTTTTTTAAATTGGTAATTGTAAGTATTGGTTTAAATATAGAACTTATTTATCTGAATACATGTAGACAAATTACCAAAAAACGTTTTAATGTCCTATATTATACATCCGATAGATGTAATAACTGTTTCTCTTTCTGCAGTCATCCAGTTTGGTTTCGTCTCTCTGTTCGTGGCTTCTTTCCCGCTGGCTCCTCTCTTTGCCCTGCTGAACAATATCATTGAGATCAGATTGGATGCCAAGAAGTTTGTTACAGAGCTGCGTAGGCCAGTTGCTGCTCGAGCTAAAGACATTGGTAAGCTAATCTGACACTCAGTTTATGAATCGCCATTCTAAGCATCAACACGATGCTAAAATCATCTTAAACCAGTCTGATTTGATTCTTTGAGTTAGCAGTGGCTTCAGGCAGTTTGGCTAATCTCACTAATACAGACTGAAACCTCTCAGCTTGATTTCCAAGCATTTTTCGCTGTACCCAGATACTTTTAAAGAGGTTTAATAAGCCCAAAAGTCACACTGTAAGGCAACCGATTCAATAACATTTTTCTAGGTAACTGATATCACCAGAATGATGGTTTGCCAGCCAAATAATTCAATTTGGATTTTTAAAATAAGTAAATTTATGATCATCAGATGGATTATTTTGTCTATGTGTAGCTAAGCTCTGGTCTATATGCAGATCTCTTACAAATTAGCAAACATTTGCATCACACTCAGTTATAAATATATCCTTTAAATACTTTATAGGTAAAGTTTAACTGACTGTCTCAGTCCATATACAGTTTTATTACTGTACCTAATACAGACTTTCCTGTTTTTCCTGTTTATTCCCTTCAACTTGTCCTTCTGTCTTTTTTGCTTCTCACCTTACAGGCATTTGGTACAATGTACTAAGTGGAATGGGCAAGTTCTCAGTCATTATAAATGTAAGTATAAACACAATGTTCCACTCTTCCAGGTTTCTAAATTAGTAAATGAGGCAGATGCATGCAAAATAAATACCTGAAGATAATTATTCTACAAATATTGTAGTAATATGTGTTTTAATTACTTCACAAAACACCCGAACACTTAAACATTTATCACTGTTGGTGTAATTGGTAGTCAATTTAAAGTCCTCTACAGCTCAGTTTATCTTGGGGAAATGGTTGTATAGTATATATGTTGCATATACTGCATGGATCTTCCACTTCTTCATGTCTTTATAAGATTAAATGTTACCTGTTTTTAGAGACCGGAGACAGGAATGCACTAACAAAGTTGGCATAATGGTGCATTTCCAGACTTCTCTAACACAGATCTCTGTGCTGCTATAAGATGAAATTCAAAGTGCCTTAGAAATTATCAAATGAAAGAAAAGAGAACAAGTGTAAAGTGTAAACGGGTCCAAACAGATCTCCTTTGAGCAGCACCTGGTGAGGAAATCCTCCTTTTAAAAGGAAGAAACCTTCAACAGAACTAGTCTCTGGATGGGCGGCTATATTTCTTGACTGATTAGTTAATAAGTAGTTAAATAATTGTTTATTATAGTTTTTTAATAAAAAAGATATTTGCAATTCTGGGTCAAATTTTACATGTAGGCATGGATAATGTGTGAAATACTCGTTTGGATCTGCTGATTAGACCTTTTGTCAATTTCATAACCTCATGAGATCCCAGAGTTGTATCTGAAATACATAAATATGCAATGTTTGTGGAGGGGAGGAGGAGGGGGGTCAGGAAGGTTCTGCTTTGCATTTGTCTCTGGCCAGTGAGCTAAAGCCCATCTAGTTTACTTTTAATACTAAACAGATTTGTGGCAGATCCAAAAACAAGCAGCAGGAGTTTTTAATGTAATCTAGATCTGAGGGATTGGACACACTGTGGACCGTGGCTGCTGGGGCTCTGTGGGTCTTCTCAGCCTGGCTGGGGGGCTTCTTTGCCTCCCTCCTGCTGTGTGCCCAGCCTGGAGGCTGCGGTCCGTGACCGGCTCCTGGTGCAGACGGCTCCCCGTGATAGTGTTTCCTCACCTGGCTCATGT